CACTGTAGAAAGCTTACTCTTCCTCTTTATGATTACTTTTTCCAAAATGCAACCATTTTTAAAGGCTACAGCGTCATCCGATTTGTACTATTTGGATCCTAGATCACAGCCAGTATTTGGAAGAAACTGTGTTTTTAATGCTTGGAGAAAAAGTAAGTAAGAATGTGAAAGCAGGAGCATTCGTTGCTCTGCCCGGGAGCTGTAATTTATTAATTATCCCTATAGGAACAATGGTGTCGAAATAATAATGCTACAGCTCCCGAGAAGGAGCAAAGTATTTCAGTAGCAATAACCACAGGGTGGGCTCCATGGAAGAAGTTATTTCATTATGATTATTATATTCAAATGAGTGTGTCTCAGTGATCAAGAGTTAGCAGTATTCTTTTCTTCACGAGAACCCCAAACTATAAAATGGGGCTGGGGGAGGAGCGGGTTGAAGCCACAAATGTTTGGTGCCAATCAACTGCAATGAATTGTGAGATGCCAGGATGAAGGCAGCGATTTGGTACATTCAAATCTACCCTGAAAAGTGTTAAAATGGAGAGCGTGGCTGGAAACAAATGGGAAAGGAAGATTCAAAGGTTGCAAGTGGTGGTGGTGGAAAATTCTAATTAGACATTTACGTCAGCTTGCAAAGCTCCTTATTTTCCCCAAATGTTGGAGTGTTTCATGTTCTGTCAGCCTTCCATTGAAAGTACTAAAAGGGAAGGTTTCTGAAAGTGTCCTCAAACTATCAGGATGGTGTTAAAAAGGTGGTGACAAAGGCATTTGCTCAAGCTTCCCCATCCCACACCACAGAATAAAATGAAACAAAAAAGATGTAAAAAAGAAAAAGAATGTGAATTTATGTGTGCCTATGCATCCTCCATCCCCCCACGTCAGGGGCCTGTGAGGTTGATCAGGAATGCCTCCCTACTTTCGCTCGCGGTGCCCATTTCTGGCTACTCTGTGACCACTTGCACTGGCTTTGATTCCCTGGGGTAAGTGTTCATGATCGCAAATTTGGCCAAAAGATTTTTTCATTACCCTCCAACATTTCCTTTCACCTCCAACCTCCAGGCAGGGCCCTGGCTTTCCCTTTGGAGCCAGGAATATAAAGACGTGGGGCCATCGGGCTGACCCCGAGGGCCTTCTGTCAATCATGGCCTCGCCATCTCTGCTCCCTTTCACACCAGGCAGCTGGACCCATCGCTGTCAACCAGGTAACAACCCCCAGACAATAGCGGCCTGAAAGCCTGGTCTAGACACTCTTTTAGCCACTTATTTGCTGCTCTTGGCAGCTGTTGAAGCATAAATAAGCAGTTTGTAATCAGAAAGCTGACATCATCGCAGCTCGGCTGAGAGGGGAGATTGTTCCTGAGCACTGAGCGGGTTTTTTGTGTGTGTGTGACAACAGATTCTGGGGTGGGGATGCAGATTTGTGCCATGCTAAGCTGGTCTTTCTTTGATTTACAGAAGACAATTGGATCAGGTCCCCGGCTCCAAGGCGCACCAGAATTATTTTTTTCATGTTCGATTCCTGATGGGCAGTAAAATTGAATAATAATTTGGGTGGGAATGTGTTGTGGTCTGTGCCTGGGTGAGAGGACAGTAGTCTGGGTGGGAAGTTTGGATGTGGAGCATTTTCCAGGCCATGGGATGCACATCTCATCAGCCCCTTGAAAGCGGTTCTGTCTGTCGTGTGGTTTGGGTGGAAGACACTGAGGAGAGGTTTGGTATTGGATGCATAGGTCTGCATGCTTTGAAAAATGAATAGTTTCACAAAAGGCAGCAGAGAAGCGGGTATGTTTATTCCTGCTTTCTAATTGTGTGCGTATGTGTGTGTGTGTCAAGATCAAGTTTGCCATTCAAAGTGATTGGCAGTTATCATCATGAAAGGCAGTAGACATGAGCCATTTGCCAGAAACATTGACTCCATCACCTCTACAGCTAACTAGAACCTCTCACAGGTGTTTTCTTCCCCAAGACTGACTTTGTTATTGGAAGGAGCAGAGATGGCAGACATTGTTTATCTATCATAATTGATTTCTTATGATTGTTTTGGGGATATTCCCCAAGGAGAGAGAGCTTCTCTGGTTCCCTTTAACAGTGTGGTGGTTCTGATTGCCCTGATGTCTGCCCACGACACCTGACTCAACATCTACTGGTACCTAGCAATTGTATACACGCCAGGATGTTGCAGAGCTTGCTACCTGAAAAGCCCATTCAGGTGGTTTTGCCCATCTCCAATTTCACTTCCAAAGAAAAAAAAGTCCAGTTCCACAAAAATATTGACTTCCTATCTCCCTGAGGGTTTCTGGTATTAGTTTGCTCTAAGTAGCTCATGATTTAGAGTACAAAGGCATTTCCAGAGTGCATGTTTAACAAAATGACATAGCAGATAATTGAAATTTATTTGCAATTTTCAAACTACAATAAACACAATTCTCCTTTTCTTTCATTAATAATCGCACGGCTAATGCATAGCAATCCCTCTGCAGCTTTTACAAGCAAACTTGAGCTGCTGTGTTGTAATAGCTGGAAAAGTTAATGTAGCTTGAACAAGGTTTCTAATTGTCCCTGTCTCTGTCATATTTGTCTACTTGAATGGTCCTAAATACCACAGCGATTAATTACTACAGAGCAGGTATTACAAGATGTTATCATCCTTCCCCAACTGTCTGGGTGAATGGAGAGAAGCGGGAGATTGTTACAGTGTTTCATCTTTGCTCTTCCTGTAAGGCACTTTAACCAGAAGATTTAACGTGTCAAAGTTAACTGCGTTCTCTAGCAGATATTCACATTCTAATTAAAGATTAAGAACGTAGTACATTACACTGTGATTTGTCATACATGGCTTGTTAAATAGGAAACCTACCGGGATTCCCTAACATTTTATAAACATTATTCAGGGCTTTTAATGTGGGCAAAGTGAAAGATTATTCAACTGCATTGCTGTATGGAAAGCAGGTTGCCCTCTACTCCCCATCCCCCACTGCCAACCCCAATAAATAATACAATAAGACAACTTGGGCAGTTTGGAAACTGTTTCGCTGTGGAGATTTTGTTCAAGCCACGGATCACCTCTGGTTTGTGTCTGGTGGTGGAGGCAAGATCTTAATTATTAACCCTAGGCATTTCTCTTTTTTTCTTTCTTTTTTTTTTTTTTTTTTTTTTTTTACTTTTGCTTTTGGCTGTCAGCTAAGTAGAGGAAGGTAAGAGTCTTTGTTTGAATTAGAGTGTCAAAGGACGGAATAAAGATGAAACAGTATTTCAATATGCAGCCTGAGTTTTCAGCTGATTCTCATAGCCCTGCTGCTCCTACCATATCCAGTACTAGTGGCTCAGGACCGGTTCACATTCTATGATTGCCTGAGGAATAAATTAATGAGGTTACTGAGACACTGAACATTTGCATATTCACGGATGCTTATTAGGTAGAAAGTGAATGCCAGGTGCACTGAATTTGGGGGATAGAGAATTTGTTAAGAAGTCACATCTTTCTGTCCTCCAGAAAAGGGGTGTCCTGTCACTACAAATAATATGTAGGCAAAACTCCTGCTTAATGAATATCTGAACAATTATGCTATAATGGAAAGACAAGGCAAAAGAGGGTCTTGCTTCAAAGCAGCAGAGAAACCAAGGCACTGCCCTTGTTATGAGGAGACCTGGATGTGGTGGTTCTGGAGCATAAAGGAAGCACACGCTGTTTACTCTCTTTGGATTTTATGCTTTAATTATGCTGGTGGTGTACACAGCTGAACATGATGCCATTATGCCTAACGCAAAATTATCAATTTAAGAAGACCTTTACATTTGTAAATATTATTATTGACAGGTCACCCATCCAAATTGGAGCAGGGAAAAGCTTTTCTAAGAAAATTATGTCAAAACCTGAATCACAGAATTAGGCTTGACTGTCTCTCTAAGGGGTGTCGGTACACGGTTCTGCTGTTGGTGATTTCTGCTGGGGCTGGTGTATGGAAGCACATTGTTTGAGCTGTTTGTATCTCATCATCGTGAGAAGTTTTTCCGCTGCTCTGGGTCGTGGCTTGGAGACTGCCTCCTCAGAGCTTAAATGGGCAGATTTCATGTTCTTCCCATCCTTGGGAATACTTCATAAAACAGAACGACGACAGTCCATGTTTTTTTTCAGAGCACCGTGCAGTGGGAGAGCCTGTCTTGCCTTTTTTTTTTTTTTTTTCTACCGTTTTATACAGGTATGTTTTTTTTCTATTTCTTTTTTCTTTTACTTTTTATTTCCTCTTTAAAGAAAATGATTGGCAGCCCTCAACCTCAAGGAACTGATCTATCAAAACCAAGCTGGGATAAGTATTTCTTTGAGAAATAATATGTATTTACCAACAGGCTCTATTCTGCCCCCTCATTTCACAGCGTCTGGAATATCACTTCCTTTTCCTGCCCAAAACAGGAGGTAACCCCGTATTAAGACCATCGTAGGTATACCTGTGTGTGTGTGCGTGTGTACAATTCACACACACAGCACACATATCTATTTAGAGATTCATGATATGCATTCTAAATACCTTTTAAAGTCCCTTTTATTAATTTTAAAAATATGATTTCCAACATCTGAAGAGTGTTTTCAAAGACTTTTGCCCTATTTTCTAAAATACCTTCTAAACATGAACAAGGGTCTTCCCAGAGAAAAGTCAAAGAGGCTCCTAGTGTTAATTTCTATATTGCTTAAGACTTAAGCTTTTAATTTATTTTATCAAGGCTCAGGGAGTATAGCAATTGCTGGAACAACCCCACTCCAAAAAAAAAAAAAAAAAAAGCCTGCACTTGTTTTTAAATTCAATTTGTTTTCTCACACAGATTTTTGATACACTCTTAAAATATACTAGAAATCATGATTATTTTAATGTGGCAGAGTTATAACCAGGAAATTGCATATATTTTCATAAACTGGACTGTTACAGATTTATTAATATTTGTTAATAATATCATTTTAAGAAAAATTTTTTAACGTCTTTCAATCCTGAAAGGGCCTGCTTGAAACATACACGGCAGCAAAATCACTGGAGTCCAGGGTTTTTGTCACACACACAGAGCACAGATTTTTTTGATTATGTAGATTTCTTTTCCTACTGCAGTTTCATATGCAAAGCATGCATCAGCCACATCCATGCTATCTCCTAAAGCAGTCATTCTGAAACCCAATCTGGGGACAGTGCAGACTAAATAAAATTTCATTTTGATTTGGCCTCCCGCTGCGAATGGGACTGCTTTGTCTCAGCCGACAGAACCAGCAAGCCAGAAAGGTATGTCCTGTTTTGCATGGCTGATGGTGTGTCTTGCGGCTCACAATCAGGCCGCCCTGCTCCCGGCTCCTCCACTTCCTGCTTCTCTTTCTCTTTCCCCTTCCATTTGCTCCCGTGCTGCCTGCCTTCTACCTGCAGGGCACAGCCGTGGCAAACCCGCACCGATTGTTTACTTTGGCATATGCTTAATAGCTCGCGTGGCTGTTTGCATTTTTTTTTCACTGTCTTTGTTGGTGGTGGCTTTTTTTTTTTTTCTGTTTTGGTTTTTGTTTTGCTTTCCTTTCCCACATTGGCTTTCCCTGTTTCTCAAGGTGTGGAATACTAAAATACCGACTGAAAGGAAAATCGTATAGGCGCTGCTGTGATGCTCCAGAGATTTTACTGGAAAATTTGTCATGCTGATTTTATTGTAAATTTGCAGATGCATTTAACAGCTTTGAAGGACTTTAGCTTTCATAGCCCTTTTGAGCCGCTTTGGCAGAAAAGCAATCGCCCATTTTAGAGAAGGGGGGAAATAGAGAATAAACACTCTCTTCCAATGGGACTGAACTGTTTTGCCATCTTGGTATGTTTTATGAAATGCATTGTGGTGTTTTCCTGAAGAGCTGCAAAATATGGCTCTCCTTTAAACAATGACCTTCACTGGGAGTCGTCTCATGAGAGACTGGGTTGTGTCAAATGCTCTTCTTACACTTGTCCCACCTCTAGGAGAATGTACTAGCAATCAGGGACAACCTGCTGTGATGTTCTCAGAAGAAGCTTTAGATAAGATGGCGAAGCACCAGGGACGGGCAGTGGTGGGAACTCAGTTTTCAAGCCCAAATTTCTCCTTGGAACTGTCGTTGCTTTTGACCAATTCCAGTTCATAGGATGCTATAAAAGAAATAAGTTTTTTCCCTGGCTCACATATTGGCATATCACTAATCTAAATGAAATTACAGCAAACTGGTAAAGATGAAGATAGAGTAAATGACATAAATTGCTTAAGAGAAGAGCAGAGGGAAAAGTTCACTCTGACTCTGGAGTTCTGCCCAAGTAATTCCACATAGGATATAGATTAGCAGATGAAAAATACCAATTAACCTCATAGGGACCTCACCCCATTCATCCAGGCAAAAACAAAATAAGTCACATCTTGTAACTTTGTAGAGGGTCAAAAATTAACTTTTGTCAATCCATAATGTTGTAGCCATTCCAGAGTTTTGAGGGGAATGGTCCTCCAGGGGTACTTCCTGATGCCATTTCTGAACTGTAAGGGCTGAGGTCTTTGCCATTACAATAAATTATTCTTTCACCACAAAATCTCTCAGTTCACTATTTTGCACCTGTTAGCCAAGCGCTTTGGGAGCGAAGAGTCACCAAGAGCTTTAGTAATTTGTTGATAGGGTGCCCTGCATGTTACATCTACCAGATTGAAGAACAAAATGAAAGTTAGTTAAAGAAGACATTGAGGAAACAATAGTGTGAAAATAGCACGAAATGTCATTTGGTAAAGATGCCACAGTCTCATAAGGAAGAGGAAAATGGCAGCGTGGGCCATGACTGGCAGGTCTGGATCCATAAACTGTGATTTCCAGGATCACCCAACAGTAAGTCCTTTTGCTATAGGCTTACCATCAGAGCCATTTGTTTGTTTCGTAGCTACTGATGATATTGAAAAGCCCAAATTTTCTTTTTGTGCATAAGTATAAGTATCTTTTTATTTTTTTCTGAGACAGAGTCTTACTCTGTCACCAGGCTGGAGTGCAGTGGCGCCATCTTGGCTTACGGCAACCTCCGCCTCCCAGGTTCAAGCTATTCTCCCACCTCAGCATCCCAAGTAGCTGGGAATACAGGTGCCCACCACCAGACCCAGCTAATTTTTGTATTTTGTTTGTTTGTTTTTTAGTAGAGAAAGCATTTCACCATGTTGGCCAGGACGGTCTCGATCTCTTGGCCTTATGATCCACCTGCCTTGGCCTCCCTAAGTGCTGGGATTATAGGCGTGAGCCACTGCACGCAGCCATAAATGCTCTATAACATCCATGCGTCGGAATTTTAGGGGCTTTTTTAGGTAATTAAGTGAATGTTCTAAGAAGTAAATTCTGCTATGCTGCTATACAGGCTGTCTTTAATAAAATTATTTGGCAAGAATAAAGTACTTTTTTAAAAAATTCAAATGCAAACACTAGTTTTGGAACACAAAGTGCTCAAAGAAGATTTACTTATCTATAAAAAATACATATATGCTTACAATACGTGTGTGTATGCTTACAATATGTGTGTGTATATGTGTAAATATATACACGGAGACCTAATATGTCTAACATATACATATACAGTGACTAAACCAATGATCCTATTAAAAAGAGTCACAAAGCTTATCTTGAAGATTAAAATCAATAAACATAATTAGCAGACAAAATTCTAAACTATATTTTGATTTATCATATATTAATACATGCAATATACACCAAAGGTTTATATTAAGTGATATAATTTTATTAATTGATGTGTTCCTCTTGAATTCCATCTGCAGGAGGCAATTATTATGGTATGATTTAAGCTACCATGTGATCTGGGGAGATGTACCCCTCAATGCCTTAGCGTAGGTCTGTGTATCTCCGCTTTCGGTGTCTGTTATGCCTGATGCAGGTCGTCTTCCAAGTTTTAGTCCATATGTTTCAAACACACGATAACGCAATGCGTCTGCAAGCACTATACATAATAATCTGAGAGAAATATTGAAGATAAAGGCTGTCATGGTGACCCTTGGCATGTGAGTTTAGTTTCTATACCTTTTGTTTGCTAATATTGTGATGACCATAATCTGATCTTACATATTTCGTTAGCTGGACCCTTCTCCAAGTAAGAGAAAGAATACTAGCTGTAGATAAATGTAAATTGTGGCGAAAGACAGAGAATTCAGTTTTCTACCCACCCTTCTACCTTCCCCATCTTGGAAACAGTCAGGATGCTCAAGAATGTTCTCTGGAGGGAATGAGCGAGCGTGTGAATCTTGCTGGTGGAGTGCATAGCGGAAGTGCAGCAGGCGCTTGTATCGGCAGGAGCCTGGCTCCACCTCACCTAGCTCTCAGTACTCATGAGGGGAAGAAAGAGATTTAAGAGACACCAGTTCTCACTTTTAGGGCCACATAAACTCCCCAGGCCTGTAGACCCAGTGAAAATGTATGCTCATTTTTCGAAGGAAATAACTTACATGACGCGTGCAAACTGGGCTGAATAGACACTCTCCAAATGTAAAGAATTCATGAGTTCTAAGCAGGTCAGATCCAGCTACGGAAGAGTCATGAGTGGCAAGGAAGGAGAATCATAAAACTCTCTGGAAAGGTCAGTATATTTAAAAAAAAAAAAAGGAACACTATTTATTTACATTTATTTATTTATACATACTCTGTAACTACTTTCTGGTTACAAAGAGCACATACCATATGGAGAGATTAAAGAAAAGCAGCATTTTAAAAAGTCAGTTATATGGAAAATGCATTTTTGATTTCTGTGGGCAAGGTAGTTAAAACAGAAAACAATAAAAAGATTGCTAGTCAGATTGCAGCTACTGAGTTTGAGTGAGGTATTACTGACAAAACATCTTCGAGTTACTTCTCAAAGCGCAATACTAGACTTGGAATACAACTGCTTGTGTTGTTTTAATACAAATAGTTATATTTGATAGGAAGGTCATTTATTGTACCAGTCTTAGTCAGAAAAAAATTCCCTGCTATTAAGATGTATATGGTAGGCTGGTCTCGGTGGCTCACGCCTGTAATCCCAGCACTTTGGGAGGCTGAGGCGGGTGGATCACGAGGTCAAGAGATCGAGACCATCCTGGTCAACATGGTGAAACCCCGTCTCTACTAAAAATACAAAAAATTAGCTGGGCATGGTGGCACGTGCCTGTAATCCCAGCTACTCAGGAGGCTAAGGCAGGAGAATTGCCTGAACCCAGGAGGCTGAGGTTGCAGTGAGCCGAGATCACGCCATTGCACTCCAGCCTGGGTAACAAGAGCGAAACTCCGCCGCAAAAAAAAAAAAAAAAAAAAAAAAAAAATGTATATGGTAATAATAAATGACTTCCCAGACACAGAAATTACATCAAGAACATCAAACACTCAGATTTTCTGTTTAGACTTAGGAAACCTTGGGAAATCCCCATATTTCACAGATTAGGGCAGATATTGGGGTGAGATAAGTCATTGAAAATTTTCAAACCTATTTTACTGTTGGAGAGAAGACTTCCACTTGACCTGTCAGATCACAAGTTGTATCATCTCATCAGAGAAATTCTGTAAAGTATCTCTTCCACACACAGAAATAATCTCAGACCTCAATGTTTCATCTCTTGGACGTGTCCAGCAAATCTTAAATCCTGGAATAAAGAGACCCTGGATATTAAAGCTGATAGCCTAGAGAGTCTTCAGATGTGTTTGTCCTCAAAAAATGTAAGAATTGACACAACCTTTCTTACAAAGCCCACATCAAAATGGCCATTGTCCTTGTCACATATTTAGGTAGAGAGAAGCCCTCTGGTTAAGCTTCATTGGCTACTCTTGGTTAGTTGAGGCATGGGTGCTGCTGTCACAGGTAAAAGAGTCTCACAGCAGCCACTGGAGATGGACCACCGGCCAGTGAGCTGGATTGAGCTCATGGCGGGGACTCAGGATTCTACAAAGAGACCTGAGTTGAGACCATGTCCACTGGAGGAGTTGCATGCTCTTTTCCTATCATCCTATACAAGCCAAAGTAAAAGACCATGAGCTCACCAGCTCCAGACTGTGGCCAGGAATGCAAGCAGCCATCTAGAGATCAGATAGGAGGTGGATTCAGCAACGGGAGTGCCAGAAGATAATGCAAGGGCTCCACATGAATCCGAGAAGTCCTACTTACTCTCATAGCCAGTAGGATCCATTAATTGCACTCACCTTTCCTCACACACCAGGACATCATCTTAGGGGAAGATGCGGGGGGAGGGGGTGAATACATAAGAGATTGGGCATTTTATC